CGATATCAATACGACAGCTGGTCTAGTTAATTCGCGCAAAAGAACGATTAACGATGAAAAGTTTAGCGCAGGATCGAAAATTATTTTCCCAATGCATAATTTGACTCGTAATTTTGATAGTGTACGAAAACGGAAGAGACGAAGTTGGAGAAAAAGTGTAAGCGCTCGTTATCGAGAGATCGTGATCTCGCGCGAGCGCGTCTTTTTTTTCTGTTAGCCGCTCGAAATTGTATCGACTCTGCCGCGTGACGCACGATTATGTAACGCGAAAAGCATGCCTCTCTGTAACGGGCACGTCGTGTGTACGTTGGGTGTGTGTACCGAGTGGTGTAAGCCACGCACCGCTCCCCCCTCCACTTCTCCACGCTCTGATATCCTACTATCCGCGCACCTTCTCTGTTAAGCTTGCTTTTCGAGCTGCCCGCCACCGTGCTCGCTTTTATCAACATCTTAAGGACACGACCGTTATCCGGCCTATTACCCTGAAACTGGGCACGCGAGATACGGGAATTCCTCGCGTTCAACGACGCGTCGATTGCTTTCTTGGACGTAACCACCAACAGCAGCATCAGTTTTGTCGTACTCTTACGTAAGAGTAGCGGTCGAACGGTTTTCATTCAATCGCGCTTATCTTTCGCGAATCTCTGGTAATAAATGGTAGCACCAGGAATTTGGTTTAACCGCGCTCAGGGTAATTCGAGGAATTCAAAGATCTCCGGACGAGCAATGCCAGAGCTCGTGCAAAATTTTTTCGCGAACATTTTCAGCGTTCGAAAGCGATCGAGTGAGGCGAGGCGGGCCGTTTGTTCGAATAACAAACGGCGAGGGGACACGGCGGAGGCGAGCGTTCCAAAAATGCGGGGACAGAACGCGCGGGCCTGAAATAGTTCTCGAGAGTACGTCGAACTTTAAGTACAGTATATAAAGGCACGTGCACAATGCCAGCCACTCGATACCGCTCGGCCGTGCGTGTTACGATTGCGGTCGGCGCTCACGTAACAAGCGAGCGCTGATACCGTTATCGGGCCGGCACAGGCATTTCGAACCGGTCTCCGATTTCGTTTCCCGCTCATTATGCAATTGCCTCCGCGATAACGCGACCGCCAACCGAAAAACAAAACTGGAACCGCGACGCGTCCCTCCGTACATACGCTCTTTATTGTTCGCGCGCCCTAATCTACAACCATTCCTATTCTATATTTGTTATCGTTAGCTCCATCTATCCACGCTAAAAAAATTCTGAGAAGAATCGTATTACGATTAAAACTTTGATTACGCTTATTCTACGAACAGACAGACCCATCACCCTGACAAATTTCATTAAAATCGACGGGGGTTGCTTTTCAAGCTGAGAAACTACCAACGACCTTGAGATTTCGAGGAGGGTCGACCTTGATGAAAATCTTCCTCCTATCATAATTCTCCTTCTGACCTTTTAAATTCCTCCAGATAAGTTTAATCGTCTACCGAAAAACAGATATTTAGATGAACGTTCATTCTTCCGGAGCACGCGTGGCGGTGTCGTAAAGAATGATACGCAATGGATCGAAAGATTTTGCGATCAGTGAATCGCGCAAGCTTCGAAACGCGAGCTCTGGCTACTTCCGAGTCAGTCCAGGGTGCTGTTCTGCTCGATCGTAGTAATCCGCCCATCCTAAAAGTTCCATGAGTTTTTGTTTTCGAATACTGTGTCGTAGAACGACCGTGAACTATTTGTCACAGCGATAATCGAGTCATGGAACGATAATTCGTGGCCGGCTTCCGCGAACGCGCGTGGCGATAGTTTTCTTCGCTATCTGCGCTGTCCGAGCAAGAGCGGGGAAGAATTGGTAAAGCTGTATCGATAAAAAGGCCGAAAGACAATGGCGAGGTACAAAGGGTATCCCGCCGGAGCGGATAATCGGTTATCAGAATTTTCACGCGTTCCACGCGAGGTTCGCGTGTCGATTGATCGCGCGTTCGACGTCCGTCGACACGTGACCTGAGGTAACGTGTCGAGGCTCGCGCGAATACGTCCCGTCTCGTCTCGAACGCGGCTTACGTAACGCGAACACGTGGAAGACAATCGTCATGGTGGAGAGCGGTGGAGGCGAGGGACGGAGACGCGCGGCGAGCTTTTCCGCGCGTTCTTGAATCGAAACGAAAACGGTTCGGCGAAACGAGAGAGGGAAAAGCACGGCAGGAAAGCGGCCGGGCCGGGTGGGCGTTTCGGTTGATAAACAACGCGGGGAAACAGGCTTAAGAAATAATGCGCCGCGTGATGCAACCGTCGGTGCATAACACGACATAGAAATGCTCGCGCAATTCGCGCGAGCTAGCGCCTCCTGTTCTAGCTGTTCTCCCCGCCACGTGACTCCTACACGTGCACGCCGTCTTACGCTAGACCGTTCACCTTCGTTGCATAACAGAAACGCGAAAAGGTCACCGCGAACAACGGAGCCTGATATTTCCTAATATGATTGATAAACCGCCTGAGCCCGATCACGCCGATCGCTCAACGACTCGACGACTCTCACGACGTTACACCTTCGAGATCGTCCAACTCGCGTTCGATATTTCTATCTTCTACAATTTCCCTTACAATTATTATTCTCAAATTAGAATAAAATTTCAAGTGAAATTACAAAGCAACGGGATCGGTTTTATTAAATTTACAATTTCATTGAAAACTTTTGCACGATCCCAATACATAGAGAAGCCTTACCTGACGAGTAAAAGCAGAATCGAGATTCCAGCGTGGTTATCGACCAGAGGCAGTAGCAAACGCTATTCACAACGAAAATTGTCTTTGAACGGCGCGTGATCGATGAACGGCCGATGACGCAACGCGCAATCCGCAATAGCCGAGTCGGCGGCAGTGCTTAGATATAGGATATATGTATCGTGCGTTATCCGCGAGCAACCGATGCGAGAAATTGTGTACGATCGGTAGGAAGTCGCCGATTCGTTGATGCCCGTCCGCGCTTTCCTACTGCGCACCACCGACCCTACGCGATCGAATATAATACTCGCGCGTCACGATCGTTTCCACGGATCGTTGATATCGCTAATCCCGATTGATGCGACGCCAAACAATCAAGAGAGATCGACCGTTCGAGATAACGAGCGCACAATACAAAATCTACGCACACCCCCCGGGGAGGGGGGAGTTGACCTCATCGATATCTTTCGTCTGCATTCCATCGATGCGATACGTGGCCATTTTATTAGCCAGTTTCGTTTTACGCGTCCTCTTAAAACGAAACTTATCATTCGTTAAGAAACATACCTGCCGATGGTAATTGCCAATTGCACTCGACCGATGCGAACGGAAACTATAGCATTTCCTTTGAAAACGAACCCAAGTATAGCAACAAAGAATCACAATGTCTGTCAATAGTATGTTCGAAATGTAAATTGGAAGAGAGGAAGTTTCCAACTTTTCTGACAGTACAAGTTTACGAGTATCGAAGGAATGATTCGGAAAATAAAATAGTTGACAAATAATACCTTGTGACAAGTGAAATTAAAAATAGTTGAATAGTTGTGAATCAACTGTTCTTTGAAATAGTAGATATGCAAAAAAATAGTATTTCGAATATACCCTCTAAGTGGTATTATGGGTCGACCGCCTTTTAATCGTTCGTGTCGAACACGAAGCCAGATCGTACCTTGGTACACGTGCGTGCCCTTCGCTTCGAGTCCGTGATGCTTATTGCACACACGCTTTACGCTACGACGAGGTGAGAGTTCTGCAAATTAGGCCGTGGCCCACTTCGGCCAACGATAGAGAGAAGGTGGTGGCGGTAGGGTGACGGCAACGCCGAGAGGGGAGCGGGATCGATGGAGGATGGGGATACACACGGTGCAAAACACGACAGAGAGGGCTCCGGGTGGGGATGAGAGGGGGCGGAGTTCCCGTTTCAAGCGACGATCGCGATCGATCTTCTTCGACGCGACGCGATCCACGTGGTGATTCCAAAGCGACCTACGCAACTCGAATTTTCACCACCCGTTTGCTTTCGATCGATGTTTCGCGTTTACACGTTATCGCGTCCCCAAAGACGCTTACATTTTCTTTTGTTATTTCGAAGACGTCGTTGCCCGTCCCTTCCGTATTTTTGTTCACGCGGACGGGAAACGTATTCGAAACCCGACACCGTCCGGTATAGTATTCCCCTGTCTATCGGAGATAAGGATCAGAGTCGTCCTCTTCGCTTCGTCACGAATGACGCAACGACCGCTGCCGCGTTGCACGAGACTTTCGTAAGCGTAGCCTTTTCTCGCCTCGATCGCTCGCTCGTTCGTTCGTTCGTCATCCTGGCCAATGCTCGCGATGCATTGCTATTCGTGTCAGGATTACAAACACATATTCTTTCCACGTTCGATGAAAGGTTCGAAGGTTCCGTAACTCGAACGCACCGATAACGCGATAAGACGCTCGAGCGACGAGATCGATCGGAACGAAAACAATGGATGCACACGAGTTTATTGCGCTCCCGTAAATCGTCGACGACGTTGCGTCGCTTCAATCGTTCCTCGAAGGTCAAAGTCTGCAGACTGGTTTCAGGGTCGATCCTTAATACGCGCGCTTAGAATCAGATTCGTCGAACGAGATCCGCGATCGAACAACGCTCGTCGAAAACGTAAAAATATCCCTCCCCGCGACTGATAATTTATATTAATTAAAGAATGAAATTGCGGTTGAATTGTTTTAAAAAATGTTTCTTGAAACGCGAATTACGAAACATGGTCCAAGCACAGGTCGCTTTAGTTATTTTCGACCAACAGCAACAACGAGTTTTTAGTTTAAAATTACGGCGCGCGCGACAAGTTGCCAAGAGATAACGGTCCGTTCTACAAATTATTACAAGGCCAGGCGCCGTAATCGCGACCAATGTTCGTTTCCGCTATGGAAAAACAACGATTCGAAAATGCGATTAATTGTGCAAGGAAAGACGACGCACCACGGATGGTTGCTCGAAGAATCGGATGGAATCGTACCAACTGTCGTTACTCACCAATTTTGAAAGATTCTCTCGAGCACTGTCGAACGACGGAACAGCGATCCACTTTGCCTTCGTCGAGGACTGCTCAGAGGCAGACGGTCGAATATACAGTTTTCCGCGAGACACGCAAGTAGTTCACTGGCTGAACGCAATGTATCCCGTTCGTCGAACCAACGTAACGAGAGTGACCGTCATAATAACGCTCGTATTATCGCGTGTCGCGATCGTAATCGTTCCCTCTCTTCTATGGGTAAATCCAGTGAGATTCCACGAACAGAGGGGTATGTGTCGCACCAAAGTAGGCAGCAGAAAATACAGAGTACAACTGCCAAAGTAACGATCGGAAGAATGCGTATCCGTTCTCCGAGTTGGATATTTCCGTGAAAAAAAAATATAAAGTCACACGAAAAAAACAAACGAAGCACTGTGTACGTATCAAGAGTAAAAGACGCGAATCCACCGGACAGGGTCCTCCTTCCGGAGACCGTTGAACTTGAACTCTGACGGCGAGCAGGTGACAGGGAGCTGCGTATACGATTTGTGTCAGTCTGTATGATCGTCGTCCGATCGTACAATCGGATAGAACGAGTTGTTTCGCGAAGAGAAACGCACACGTCCACTCGGTCCGGTGTCAGTCTGCAAACTGACTGCACGCTGCGCGAGACTCGCGACTGCCGTCTTGGCCCCAATGTCGTCTGGCTTCGAGTTGATGCGAGAAGGCTGACGCGGCACGCGTGTGTCGTGTGTACGTGTGTGTGTGCGAGTGTTGCGCGCCCGCGTGAACGCGCTGCCGGCGTTGCTTTTCGACCGTGGTAGTGAGGAGGATTTTTGGAGGAGGGGTGAACAGGTCCACCCGCCGGGGGAACTTTATGCCTGGTTTATGTGTACTCCCCACCACCACGGTGCCAGCCCGCTCTGCGTCAGAGTACCGACCATTCCCCTCTTACTTCCCCTCCCCCCTGCTCCCCCTCCACTTGGTGCTCAGCCCCTACTCGACGCCTAGGTGCACCGTCGCGTCGCGTCATATCTTTCAGCCCCAAGTCACGCAGCGCTTGCCGTACGCGCGATTAGATTGCGTCGCGCAGCGACGTTGAACGCTTCGTTCGCGTTGCTTCTCTATTCTTTTCGATACGTTCCTCCCTTTTATTATTTCGCTTTCTTTTACTTTTATTAATCTATACTCCACAGGGATTCCATTTTATCGTTAGACGTCAACGTTGTTTTCAACGTCGATCTCTCCCTGTAAACAACATTGTTTACTTTTTTTTACGCAACGCGATTAACTTGTCCGGATCGGTTTATAATTTAGATGGAGTGAGAAATGTTCGTTTCGACAAACGCGATAGAACGAATCTTTTTTTATCGTCGAAAAAGAAAGAACGGAACGAGCGCCACTTGGTGGAGTCGGTCGCAAGGACCCTCCGCCTCCTGCCTGCTCCACCTCTGTTCTCTATAAACCGAATGCCAGACAACGAGGGCATCAGCCCCCATGAATCACCGACGGTCACCTTCACTTTTTATGCAAGTTTCTTCTGGCTCGAGCCCGCCGGTTGAACGAATCCTCCTCGCTCGTCGGGACACTCCGGAGGATCACCACGGAAATTTGCGTTGCAACGTAACCGCGGCTCATCGCGAAATTAATCGACACAAGATAGACAAACATTCGCATCTCCCGTATAACGATCTCGTTCGTTCGATCTGTCGATTACGTAATTCGAAACAGAGAAACAGACAATAACGAGTAAAGTAAGCGAGAGTGGTCGATCAGTGCCCGGTGGTTCATCATTAGTAACAATTTAACATGTTTGAAAACCAACGAAAGAATTACTTTTTGTCCCATCTACTCTTGTCTGACATTGAAAATGTTGTTTTCTCCGACATAGAGGCGTTACGACTCTGTTTTCGAGACAGCGACGAAAGGAGGGCCGTTTCGATATCGAAATAAAGCGCGTACGCCCGATAAATCACGCGGTGCAGCTGCGTGAATTCATCGTATCGGTTTTCAACGACGATTCGGCAATACGATTTGCATAGATGGTATATACATAATGATCGCGCGACGTGCGCTCACGGCGCGGCGGGCGAATTTGGAATTTCAAGGACGCTTCGGGACGTGCACTGCCTTGGTATCTCGCGCGTTCGCGCGATCGTTGCAGTTTTCTCTGCATCGTACGCGTTTCGCGGGTCGTCATTTTTCTCGCCAACGACCTACCGGCCGGGTGATAAAAATAAAACGCCACGATCGATTGGATCCACGCCAATCTCGAAACGTGCAAAATAATAGATCGTCTAATTAACCAGATTTACGTCGACGGTCAGAATTAATTGTTTTCCGCCTTTGTTTTCGACGATTTACGACGATTTACGTGTTTCCCATTTTTGACAATGAGTCACGCGTATGCGATTCCTTAAATACGATATTTATTTCTATTGTACGGCGTAATACGTTGCACGACTGCAGACGCCAGTCCGCGTAATTTTGAAATACAAATGGTGAATCTTCGCGTTTAGTTACCTTGGACCCACGACATGCGCGCTTCGATTTGCGTATCTTCGAAACTAGTTCAAGTTTAAAGCGACGCGAACGAGACTGGTTTGCTCTGTAACTGTATACATATAGTGCTGATGCATTGCACGAAACGAAATATTCCTGCTATATCCATTGGTTCATATTTTTAAACCCCAACAACATTCATAAACATTTGTGTCGATAACCGGCATCAGGGTATTCCTTTTTCATATTGACATTTTACAACAATCTTTAAGGTTCTTGTTGTAATATAAGGAAAAAATTATTGACACGATAATGGAACAACATTGCAAGTCGAGACATAATTATCTTTGGAACCTTTTAGTTTCCAACGTTTTTCCTCGATTTTCGTCGCGGTGGCGTTCATTTCCTCTCAACAAACATCGGTTTCACGGAGCAAAAAGAAGCCAGAATGCGACATTGATTCTGTTGGTCGATTAATTCAGCTCCTTTCTCTCGTGTCGCGAGACAATCGCTGTACCGAACAATAAAATCACCGGTCGAGCGGTACGTCGCGCCGCGCCGGTGAAAATTTCCGCATTGTTTTTCGCGCGAACGCGATCGTGGTCGTTAGAAGTTGGCCCTGGTTCGCGCGCGAATTTAAAAGAAAGTCAGGTAGCTGGCTCGGCCAGTCACCTCTTTATCGCTGCCTGTAACGTGCAAGGCCGCTGAGGGACCTCGATATCTCGATTAAACCAATGAGCTTTCTTCGACGTTTCGAAATCCTGGTGTACGACCGGTTCCTTGCAGCGCGTCTTACGTATCCTTGCGCCATCACGGTCAAATAGAGATCCTTTCGACTCTCAATTACCGCGAATCGACGGGAAAAACAGGCTGGCCGCGACTTCTTGTCTAATTATAGGACTGTATTTCAACGAATTCCACTCCGCACGCAACCGACAAGAACGAATAAATAATAATCGAAACTGTATTTAACTAAAGTATTAGGCAGTATGTTTACATGTTTCAATGTTTAATATTTCGTCTGAAATTATCTCAACCTTTACCCTGCGTCTATTCGAGATGTTTACGAGCGCACTGCGACGAATCGACTTTCTATCTCGTCGAATTCGAACGTGGGAAATTGTTCGCCAATCAGGCTGTCTCGATACTGTCGCCCGTGGTCTCGATTCGCTCCGGTTCAGTCGAGGGATTATTAATAAATGTTAATTATAATAGATCGATCGTTTTCATTCCCGCGGCATTCGTAATTCGCGGCTTTATGGCGTTGGAGCGATAACGCTCGAATTATCTAAGAAAATGTTGATCCGATCGTTCGATCGCGCTCACGGTTTTTACCGGGGGATCGGAGAGAGAGAAAGAAAGCGGATATTTTGAATAAGCAACTCGTTTAACAATAATTTCCCTCTCCAGCAACGATTCGCTCTTTCTCCGCGAGCGTGAGCGCGGGCAGACGCTAAGGAGAAAGTGTAACTGTTGGAGTAATAGTGACGATGCAGGTGTAATCCGGATTGCGCGTGCGAATGGCTCGAATAGCGTGTCTGCATTTCAATTCCGCTCCGTACACGGCCGGCGTGTTCGGCGTACGTACGCGATCAAAACGCTAATGCTAGATACGCACGCTCGCCGACACCGTTTCAACGTAATTAAATCTTTGCGTAGAAATTCTCGCGCGATTTTCTCTCCTGTGGTTTGACTCGCGATATTCTTTTTAACGCGCCGTCGAGCCAATTAAAGTTTCCCGTTTAGTGGATGATCACGGAGAACCGGCCGAAACCTTTCGATCGAAAGACCTGTTAAAGAATAAAGCTCGTGCTCGATCGAAGAGGCACCCCGGCCGCTTAGAACTTTGAGCTTTATTTTTATTTACAACAGATTACACGGTTTAAAGGAAAAAGTATGTCTATGATAGGATGCCTCGTAAACGGCAAACAATTTGGTATAAAGTACGAAGCGAACCAGCATGGGAAATTATTAATAACGAACAACGACCGCCTCGATCCGATGTATCGTTGCAAAGTGCAGATAACGTCAGCAGCATTTTACGTCACGTGGATTTTAACACGCTGTCATAGATAACGAGCGGTGTAATATGGATCGATCTGTAAGTAGAGTCTTCGGTTTTAGAAAATAGAACGTGACGCGATCGGTCTTGGACTAACAGGAACAAATTTCTCAAGTACTTTCGCCAACTTTTTACGACGGGAACGATGAAACAACGAAAAGCTTTAACAATTGTAAAAACGAAGTTAATTAACGGTAACGGTAGTTGGCGCGAGACGGATATTTAATTGAATTTTCGCACGAATTTCGGTTTTACGCAGGCACCGTTTATTAGCCTCGGCAATCGATGACTCTGTATTAATTAATTCCTACCAAATCGTTGTTATTGAATTAAACGAGCAACGTTTCAACGTTTAATTGAAGTATCCCGCGTACAATGCGGGAAATATCATTTCCGCGATAATCGATGCGCCCGGAATATCGGTACCGCGTGAATTAAAAGCGTTTTAATTAAAAGGAACGCTTCAAAATAGCCCGAGTGCGTGTAGGCTCGTTTGTTAGACTCAACGTGATTCCTGTTACGTGTTTTGTTTCGTTTCGGTTCAACAACGTGGCAGTTACTATTAGCGATCGGTATGAAACAAGCCACGATTTATGGGTTTCTCAATCCACTCGAAGAAGAAGCTAATTTTAATCAAAATATTACAATTAATTGGTCCGTTCGTAAAATTTGACGGTCGATAAATCGATAAATGTCCCTACTCGTTAACATTAGCTAGCGATCGAAAGGAAAATACAGTAGCTATCGAGATATCGAGTCTCGCAACAGCCGGAGTTCTCTGTCCAACTTGGCGCGAGTTCACTGGCCTCTGGACTCCAAATCCCAAAGACGAAAACGGTTTCTGACGTTCGCGTATAGTCTAATTCGCTGCGTTCGTGGTCTCGTTACATATCGGGCGTACCAAATGTAAAGCACACCGCTCATCGATCGTAATCAGGCACATCGAAATACCTCTCGAAAAATATCTCAATCTTCGTATCGTAGTATAATTCGTAAGTGAAATTAATATTCCTAAATCTAATATCGAGTCCCCTAGCATTCGACATAGGACTTGCTAAAACTAGCAACGCTTGCGATTCGACCATAAAGAGTGAAGTTTCCCAACGTTTACTTTGAATTTGATTCGAAAATAAAGTAGGAAGGACTCGGGATCGCGACGTATTTTCTGAACACCCCGTATAAAGGACGGGAGCCTATTTGGCTCGCGGACGGTACTTTCATCGACCAAGTGAAAGCAATATGAAAGTGCTTGATTGCAA